CATGCCTGCAGCCAGCCAAGATCATGGGGTGTGCTCAGGTACACCAGGGACACAAACCCAGAGTCATCCCACATGGCTCGCAGTATCACACAGGAGTGCCCTTACTGCCTGGCCCACTGCAGCTGGGCTCCCTTTGATGTTTCTCACATTTTATGAGAATTATTATTATCATCTGCAAGCCGTAGGTTAAAAATGAGCTTTAGCAAGCCTAACTGGCCAAAGGGAATACACCTGGTGTTTGTAGAGACTCAGGATTCCATCATTCTTGCTTCTCTTCAGCTGTGGATATTAACAGAGTGGTTAGAAGTATAGATGCCTGCACAGCACCTGGACTGCAAGTATAGATGGAAAAGTCACCCCTTGAGTTGCAGCTGCTGTAGGTGACGGTCACAGAGGTAGAAATTGCAGAGAGAAACATCAGGGAGCAGACCTAGGAGTGAAACATTCACTTTTAGAAGGACAGATGTGAAAGATAACATTTATAGTTGGGGAAATTGAGGTATAGACAGGTGTTCCAACTGTCTCACAATCTAATGTATCCAGTTGGCTCCAGTTTGTCATTGTATTGTCTGGCCTGAGCATAGATACCTATGTTTGGGCATCACTGAAACCTGGCAGGTTAACAAAGCCCTTTCTTTTTCTTTTCTATTTTTGCAAAACAAATTTCAATTTCCCATTAGGAAAACAAAATTCCTTTTTAAAATTAGTTTGACCTTTGCTTACTTTTCGAGTAGAACAATCAAAAGCTTAGAGCAGTGTCCCATTGATGTTTAAAAAATCTAAGTATCATACCTGTTCTGAAGGACTGGTGGTCATTTATGTGGGTGCTGTGACAGAAAAGGTCAACCGACAGAAAAAATAGCAGAGAAAAACACGAGGACAGTTTGATGGCAGTGTCACATCACTCATCAGTTTTACAATAGCATTGGCCTTTGTCAACATTTCCTAAAGGAAAAATCATAGGGCAGCAAAAACAAAGAACCGTACACGAACAGAATTGAAAACAGGTTAAGACCTCCTTGAAGACTTGAGAGACCATCTTTTTGCTTCAAAAGACAGTCTCTCAGCCTTGCGTTCTCTAGAGAATTCTGCCTACAATTGTTACTTTTTTGCTTCTCCTGTTCTGATTTTTCTCTGTCTTTCCCAGTATAGAAAATTGCCTAATTCTTTGTGTGTGTTTTCCTGTGTCTTTCTGAATTTTCAACAGCAATATCCCGAAGCAACCTCAGAAATGACATCAGCATGAAATTTTGTTTTGAGGTTGGGTGTTTCATTAGCTGTGAAATAGCAGATGAGGTTTTTCCTATTTCCATTTGAGGCTCATAGAAGAAAATGCAAATGGATGAAAATCTATTATGCTTAGTATTGAACGCCTACCTTTACTCCTCATTTTCCCAGCAGATTACTCAGATTCTGTTCTTTCCTTTTGGTCTGTATCTTTCTTAATACGATGTCAAGGTAGCGTAATGCATCCCTTATCACTGACTTGCATATGTGACAAGACTTATGTAAAGCCCAGTACAATTTAGTCTTATTCCATATTCTTTGGCTATAATATTCACTGGTAAATAAAAACCTGCTTAAGCAGATAACACCTGACAGAATTTTTTCATACCATAGTCTCCCTAGAGTAGGAAATTCTGCTTGTGGGTGAGGTGTTCCTCTGCTCTCCCATTTTGGTTTTCTTAACACTATTTGTTCTTTCCATATTTTCCTATTATGCAAATTTGGGCCTGTAGTTTACTGAAGTTTATCTTGACAGTGAAATCGTGAGATTTTTGTTAATTGTCTTGTTTGGAAACCCTTATTTTGTTTGAGTTAAACATAGGATTCTTGTGTCTGCAGCAGGTAACTAGGTTTATTGCTATAGTGGTCTGCAGTAGGGTGTGGTTATGTCGCAATTCTCCTTCCTTTGCTTCTCTACCTGTCAGGATTTGAGGCATGCACACCTGACCGATGTGTTTTTCATTCCTCTGAGACCAGTGCACAGTGCTTAAGTTCTGCATTCTGGGGCTGGACTGAACAGGTTGTTTTTTCTTTCTTTTTTTTGTAAGATTTTTGCTATAGGGTGTGAGCACTCACTGGAGAGAGCGAGCAAGACAGGGAAATGGAAAGTGAGATTACCCCCTGAGGGTTTGGCCCTGTTGCAATCCCTTCTCCTCCATTCTCCTCTTGGGATTTTGGACACATACGCACATTCATCCAGCATGAGTTTTCAAGCCTCTGGGTCTAGGAATTGAACCACGATCATCCATGTGGGAGTCCAGCAATGTAATCAGTATGCCATCTGCTGGCCCTCTGAACAGATTTTTAAAGTATTCTGTCCCTCCCTGCCCCCCTTAAAAAGCCTTTCCAACACTGGTTATGGCACCGACTACTAATAGTATATTTAATAGAAAACCTGGTTTGAGAAAGATGGCTCTCTGTCCTTTATGGATCTGTTCCTGAAAGGATAAAGTACTATCCTAAATAAAATGTGCTTTCTAGCTTTCCTCACTGCGTTAGGAAGCTTTATCCCAGAATGCTTTGCTTTTGAACTCTCCAGTGCCCCATCTTTGAGAATATGAGAGTTTCTGCATTGATATTAGAGATACTCACATCAATATCTAGGTTAATGTCTAGTAAGAGCCAGTTGGGTTTTCATTCTGAATTACTTGAAATCGGCTCTCTCTGACAACACAGTTTGGCAGTTTGGCAGTTTTTCATATTTCTTTTAAATTTTAATTATAACCCATCAAGTCTTAAGCAATTACTTCTGGGTTAGACTCTTGATGAATGTCATAGCAGGGTGTTTTAATTTAATGGATCCAGAATAACATCTGTTTCTAATATTTTAAAAGCCAATTTATATGGAAATTCATTTAATACACAGTCAATACACGAAGACGTGCAGGAATCAAAATCAAAATGGAAAATCAAACCACTGTGATGGAGTAGGTCTTCTGTTAACAAAGAATTTTGCTTATGACTAGGATCAGCTGCCACTAGTTAACACTCAAAATCGCCTAGTTTAAGCTATTTATTTCTTATGCTGAAGAAATGGGGAGGTAGTTAGCCCGGGACTGATGTGGTTTAGCATGACAAGGACTCAGTTTCCTTCAGTCTTACTGCTCTGCTCTGTAGTACATGATTTCTGTTCCTAAGGACAGCCTATGAGCCAGGATTGTGGCTACGGCTCCATCTGATACAAGAGTCTTCCACTCAAAAAGCAGGAAGGAGATGTAGGGATAAAGGGGAAGACAGGGTCACTTTTTCCTTTACAAGGCACTGTTTGAACCAAAAATTAGGCACAAATTAGTCACATGACCTTATTTAGTATCAAGCAAACTAGGAAATGAGAATTTTTTCCAGATGCCATGTGCCGTGCTATAAACTCCACGTTCTCTTAGGATGGGAAAAGAGATCTGTTAGATACTGGGGTACAGTGAACTGTCTCTGCCTCATAGTCATTCTGAAGATAAGAACTTACCCTCTTTTGTATTTTTACTGAACATCTAGAAAAGTCAGCTAGTTTTTGTAAGTCCATAATATGTGTAAAAGAGCTGGCATGGTGTTTGGCACATAGTAGATAATCATTAACTACAGTCCAGTCTTTTTCTTAGTTGTTAATTTGCCAGAGGGTGTAAGTGTTTGCTGGAAAAGAGAGAAAGGGAGAAAATAACCCCCATGGATTGTGGTCATGCTGCAAGTCTGTCTCCTCCATTTCTCCTTACTGGTAGAATTTCAGAATTTTGGGCATGAGCACACACATACCTGATATATTTTTCAAGCCAGTGGGTCCAGGACTTGAACCATGCAGCCCTGTGGGATTCATGTCATGTAGCCACCATGGTTTAATTCTAATCCCCAAATATACTTAATTTCAGAGGCTATGGGTCAAGTAGACTTTAATAATAGAGACGTTTTATAGACCATACCCAGAGTTCGTGTAGTAATAACAGCAACTTACAGGGCAGACAGATCATTTGCACTAGGGTTTCCTAAATGCTTATGTGTCTGCAAAGCAATGTTCTTTGCTTCCCTATCAAAAAGGTAAATTCCAAATGGTTGTTAAATTATGTCAGGGTAAAACTATTATCCTCACAGAAACTGAAGCTCAGAGAGGTTAATTTGGAAGAAATTTAGAGACCCATTATCCAGTCATTTGATCCCAACTGGAATACCAACTGCCATTTCCACGGGATGTTTCATCTCAAACGAGTTTCTTAATGTGTGTGAATTTTTTGTATTTTCTTATTTTTAAAGTCAGGCAGCACCTGGTGATTTGTATATTTGAGAAGCACTGCTCTGGGCACTGAGAGGATAGCTCCAATTTATTTCTACAAGAGGACTAGGCCTTGCTCTAAGTATAACCTCTGTACTAGCAACACCTGGGCCTGCTTAAAAAGGTTGATTCTCAGGCTTCACATTAACTAGAGATGGAATATGCATTTTTAGCCAGCATGCCCCACGGTTTTTAGGGCAGTTTGGCAACAGTTTTATGAAGGCTTGAATTATTGACAGAAACTCTGCATTTATTCTTCAAAGGTATTTGCATTCAGCAACAAAGAAAGCATATAAGGAAGAAATAAAGACTTAATTGTGGTGTTATTAGAAAACATTAAGGGGGAAATCTGAATTCACCTGTATGTACTTGGGATCTCAGTGTAAAGCCACATAGCAAAACTTACAAGAAAGGGAATCTATCTCTGTCTCTCTAAGTTTCATTTGTTCATTTTTTTCATGAAACAGAAACTGACAGAGCCAGCACCTCTAATAGGGTCTTAATGTTCTAATCCATCCCCAGCTAGCCCTGGATCATAGGCATGCATGTGTCTATGTGCTCAGGGAGGTCTTTGGACACCAACTGCACGCCTTCCCATGTGTGTCAGCATCATGTTTTACCAGTGTAGGAAGGTGTAGGAAGGCAATTTCCTACCAATGTCATGTTATTTCTTTTTTTTTTTTCTTTTTGTATTTACATGTGATTTTTTTTTTTTTTTTGACATTTTGTTTTTTAGCCGTGCTATCAAGACTAATCAGGACCTTCTCCCAGAAACTCCATGGACACACATTTTCTACAATGATTTTTGGGGGACTCTGCTCACCCACAGTGGTAGCCACAAGTCCTACCGGCCTCTCTGTACCCTCTCCTTTCGCCTGAACCATGCCATTGGAGGGTTGAACCCCTGGAGCTACCATCTTGTCAACGTCCTGTTGCATGCGGCAGTCACTGGTCTCTTCACGAGCTTCTCCAAGATCCTCCTTGGTGATGGCTACTGGACCTTCATGGCTGGCTTGATGTTTGCCTCCCACCCCATTCACACAGAGGCGGTGGCAGGAATCGTGGGACGGGCTGATGTCGGCGCCAGTCTCTTCTTTCTTCTGTCCTTGCTCTGCTACGTTAAACACTGTGCTACCAGAGGCTACTCGGCCAGGACTTGGGGCTGGTTCCTGGGGACGGGACTGTGCGCAGGATGCAGCATGTTGTGGAAGGAACAAGGAGTGACTGTTCTCGCCGTTTCAGCCGTTTATGATGTCTTTGTCTTTCACAGGCTGAAAATGAAACACATATTACCTACCATTTACAAAGTAAGTGATTGTTGGTTCTTCAGCATTGGATTACTGAGTACTCTACTCGCTTGGGTCTTTGCCATCATTTAAAAAGCAAATTTGTTCCCCTTCAAGTAGAATTTAAAATCCGTTCCTTTTTGATCTTTGGTAAGTGGAAGTGTCCTTTTTGACCTTTCTCCACAAGGCAGGGTTACTGTCAGTTTTATTTCTCAGGTTACTTCATTTGTTTTCATACATTTAAAGGTGGTGGAAGAATAATTTTGCCTTGTAAATAATATGTGTCTTTGTTATTGCAGAGTTTTATTTTTTTCTGCCCCAATTCTCATAATTGAATAAATAGCCTATCATGTGTATTTGTAAAAATTATGCACCCCTTAATCGAGGTCACTGCTACTATGTAGGGGAACTCCTTAGCCATTTGTTAATGTTAATTTTCTTGAGTGGACTTTGAAAAACAGGCTCTTCTCTGTAGTGCACTGAGAAGTCAAATTCTTACACAGTGAATCATATTTACCCTTTTCCTTGTTGTACTGTGTAAGAACAGAACAGTCAAAACAGAGGGTGGTTATTATTAAGTTTTGCCCCGAGGCCAATTAAGACCTTTGCCTCAGGGCTTAATATTTGTTCTGCTGTATTCCCTTAGTGGTTTCACATGCAATGTTATTGGAAGGTCACAGACCCAGTTCAGATCTAGTCACTCTAAGGGACTGAGCAGCTATTGGCTCGAGTACGAAGAGGAGGCATTTGGGAGACAGGGGCATTTTAAAAAAACTACCTCCCTTCCCTTCCCCTTATCCTTTTTCACTTAAAATCAAAATACCCATGTTTCAGTTTTAAAGTTTAAAGACTGAACTCAGTCATGCTTTAGGTAAGTTCCAACCTTCCTTCTGGAAGGAAGTAAGGAAGCAAGGAATTATGGGTACTTGCTGTGATGAAGGTATCAGGTTTTCTTGTTTCACCTTTTTTTTCCCTCCCCCTCAATTCCCACTTTTATTTCAGATTGAACTGGGAAGAAATGAAAATTAAACCAAAAAAGAAGAAGAGATGGAAATAGAAATGGAAACCTTTTTTTTTTTAATTTCTTTTTATTGTTTTTTGTTTTCCCACTTAGGCAGTATATTTAATCACTGTACTTTTGCTCTGTGGGAAGCATAAACTTTTTCACTTGAAACTCAAGTATCAAGGCTTAATGAAGTTTCTTTGTGATTTCGGTTAAATAATGAAACTTTAAAAGAAAACTCTGGTTAGAGTTTGATTCTTAAAAACAACATTAAAAACAGCATATGGTTTAGAAGTCTAGCTATTCATTTCAAATCAATTTTAATTAATCTTTCAAAGAGTTTAGAGAGAGTGGTGGTTTTTATCTAAAATGATGTCATCAACCATAACAAACTTTCTTCCTTTACTGGAAATAAAATAGAACCAATGTAGTGTATGGTCCTTATAGTGGCAATGATCTGTCTGAAGATACAGACTCAGTGGCTGTTTCAGGACCTGTGCTGATAGTCTGGGAAACATTGTGGCTGTTTACATAGAACTCTCTTTTTACCATTCTTGAATTAGGGAATTATTTTGATACATCTCTGTAAGAAATGCTTTTTTGAACTTTTTGAAGTTCTCTTCTGAGAAATTTTCATTTCCCCAAGCATATTTTAAAGGGTAGAGTTACTTATGATAGAGCTTCTTACTGTAAGAATGTTCTATATGATACTTTGCACATACTTATAAATATAAAATTAGTCTTTGTGTATCTCAAATTAAAACTTATTTGGGCAGGGCCAGCAGGTGGCATAGTGGTTAAGGTGCTGAACATCCACATGACCAACCATGGTTCCAGTCCTGGACCTGGCTTGAAAATCATGCCGGGTGTGTGTGCATGCATGTCCAAAATCCCAAGAAGAGAAGGAAGTAGAAGGGTTTGCAACAGAGTCATTCCCCCAATGGGTGATTTCTTACTTTCCTTCCCTTCCTCTCTCTTTCTCTCTCTCTCTCTCTCTCTTTCTCTTTCCTCTCCAATGAGAGCACATGCTTGATGGCAAAAACCTAAAAAGAAAATTACCCGAGCATCTTGTATTTTATGTGGCAACCTTACTCATGTAACTGCTGCTTAACAAAGTGAGAAATGCCACTAGTAGAGGAACTTCTAAGTATATAGAGTGTAAAGTCCTCTGTGCTAGGAGCAAGGACTTAGTTCCAGTGAAAGTCCAGCACCTTGAGAATTTTTTAAATGGATATTTGCCCAGACTCTCCTGGCAACCACACTAGTAGGACTAAGGAGCAGCAAGGGTAGTGTTGGGGACAGCGGGACCCTTCAGCTGCCACTGTTGATACTTGGCATCACATCTTAGCTCCTCCTGTTATTCTTAGGTTTGGAGCCAATGAGTTTAATAAGGACATTGAAATAATAGAGGTTTTAGATTGGTAAAGAACCACTGAGGTCATCATTGCTGATCTAGAGAAAGGTCACCCAGAGAAATGGTAGAGTCACTAGAACTAGAGAACATAAATGAGGTCTTCAGAAAGTTCATGGAAAATGTGTATTATGAAAAACCTATGCATAGATTTCAAGGTTTTTTGTTTTGTTTTTGTTTTTGTTTTTGAACCAAAATAAACTTGTACTTTTGTTTGACAATTTTTGCTATAGGGCGCGTGTGCTTGCCAGAAAGATAGAGACAGAAAGACAGAAAGCAAGAAATCGCCCCCAAGAGAGGATGGCCACGCCACAATCCCTCCTCCTTTGTTCTCCTCTCAGGATCTTGGACATGCACGCACACGTGCCTGGCATGAGTTTAAGCTACCACGTCTGGGACTTGAACCACAGTTGACTACATGGGAGTCCAGTGACATAGCCATGACACTAACTGCTGGTCCCTAAACTTGTACTTTTTATTTAGTTTCTTTTTGCCACAGGGCATGTGCACTCTCTGAAGAGAGATGGAGGGAAAGTGAGAAATCAACCCCTGGGGGGATGGCCATGTCATAATCCTTTCTCCTCCATTCTCCTTTCAGGATTTTGAGCATGCATATCCATGTGCCTTGTATGATTTTCAAGCTGCTGGGTTCAGGATTTGAACTATGGTCAATGATGTAGTGGTCCAGTGTCTTACCCACCACGCCGCCAGCTGGTCTTAAACTTGTAGTATGATTCTACTTTCCCACAATTTTTTAAAAATCCTCTTGTATTTCTGTCTTTTGATCTTTTTACTACACTTTGAAGGTGTGCTAGTGAACAAATAGTCAGATGACCACAAAGTGTAAGGAAAAATAATGTGAAATACTTAATTCACAAGGGCTGAGTAACCTTAGGTTAATTCTATGACCTGTTTCTTCATCTGAAAATGGAGACAGTTATTGTTCCCTCATAGAGCAGTGAGGATTGTGTAAAATTAGGGTGTGTTTAGTGTGAACTTGTGTGCTTCATATTTGGGTGGCAACTAATGCATGTTAGTTGAAGGAAAAAATAAAATATTGACGGAAATTATTCCTTCTAATCGTTTGTTTTTGAAGATAAACTTCTAATAGCATTTACATATAGACTATGGTTTGGTAGTATAAGGAGACTTTTAAATGTGGGAAAATTGCATTAAACTATGAGTTTGTTACAAAAATTACTTGAAGGGACCAGCAATTGGTGTAATGGCTATGTCACTGGACTCTCACGTAGTCGACTGCAGTTCAAGTCCTGGACCCGGTAGCTTAAAATCATGTCGGGCGTGTGTGCGTGCGTCCCCAAGATCCTGAGAGGAGAATGGAGGAAAAGGGATTGTAGCATGGCCATCCTCCCAGGGGGTGATTTCTTGCTTTCTGTCTCTCTCTCTTTCTGGCAAGCATATGCGCCCTATAGCAAAAACCTCTTGGAAAAAAAAATTACTTGAAAGCTGTGTGTAATTTTTTCCTAATACACATTTTCCATGAAATTTTCAAGTAGTACATATGAGAAAAGAACTGCTTAGAAATAAACTAAAGCTAAATTACAAAGATTTAAGCACAAAATTTCACTTAGAATCTTATGACTGTGAGGCTTGTAAACACTGGCATAGATGGCATATGGAAGTTACTGAAAATTCTGTATTCTGTCTTAATATCAATATATAGATTTCTGTGAGTTAGAAGAGACTTTCTGAAGGAAGGGGATTAAAAAGCTATAGAAGGTCTTTTCCAACCTTAAAAGGGTATCATCTCAAATATCTTAACAAATAACTTTGCATCATAGTTATTATATTACGGTTTGCCAGAGGAAATAAACTTCCTGCCCTATTAAAGTATAACGTGCATATAAACAAATAACGCTAGGACACAAGTGTTTAACTCTTATGCAAATTAGGGAACTGGCCAAATACTCAAAATCTAAAATGATAGTCCCCTTGAAACCAGGGGAGTGAGGTTCTCTATTTTTATACTTCTGACAGTAATGTTTTTAGCGTAGCAGTCACACTCAGCTCCTCTCTCCTCAGTATTGGTGATTTTGGGTCTATAACTCTTAGGTAATTCAGATCATAGGCCCCAAACTCATATGTCCATCCAGGCCAGGCAGAAGGGACGGTGGTGAACTGGAGCTCATGACCTACCACTGCCATTCCTCCCCATCCCATTCTTACAATAGGAAAATTGAGGATTCCAAAGCACACATGCACTGTGCAATTATCAAATCAAAGATAATAATTCATTATTTTGCATGCTTTGAAAATCCATATTGTACTTCAAAAAGATGTACAGCAATTAAATATAAGTAAGAAATTAGAGAATAAAATAGAAAAAAAAAGATTGGTTTCTGTTTGGTAGAATGTAAGCGTTTTCTAACAGAGCTTAGTTTTTGTGTGATATCTTGTTTTCTGATGATTACTAATTAAAAAACAAAAACATCAAACTCCGTTTGAGCCAGACGAATCTTTGAGATGGTTGAATGGGGCCAGTTTTGACCTCTAATCACACGTATCAATTTGATGCACATATCTACATTATATATAAGGCTTTTGCAATTCCACAAGGGAAATATGAAAGTGATTTTTTTTTTTTGT